CGGAGAGTTACAAAAAAACGTTAATTTTAGCACACTTAAAAAAAACACCAGAACTTGTTGCATCCTTGATGTGCAGCCGCAGTAGCAACGGTGCCGGTGGCGATATATTCATCGACGGAGTGTATTTCGAACGTGCTATGCACGACGGATTGTTTTTTTCAAACGCACTTTATGACATTTGCGATTTTTCCAGAACCTCGCCGATGAATCAGTTTGAAATTTTAGTAACAATATGCGGTTTAATCGAAACTAAGGGATACATACCACCCGTCGATGGTACGACTTTCATTAAGATCAGGGAGTGTTTACCCACATACTTTTCAAAGTACTTCAATTGTCCGTCAAATTTCGAGTCACTGACAAATTGGACTACGGAGAATCTCGATTCGTTCATATATGATGTATATGGATATACTTCTCTGTTTCAAGACGTGGTTGAAATGAAAAACGTCGTTACGACGCATCAGTATTCGATTACAGACTGGTCTACGTCGACGCTACAAGACACAGTCACTCCGTTTGATTCAGACGATGTCATATCTCAGTTATTAAGTCTCGTTGACGACGGTGAACAAGAGTGTATATAAACGTCCGATCGTCAATGAATTTTATATTCAGTTCGAGTCATGTCTTTGAACTGTGCGTATCAGCCTCTGGAAGAGATGGACCTTGAAATCAGTGACCATTTCGAGGTGGAGGAAGGAGAAATAGTCAATCTACAGTCTAATAATAATGATGAAGATGACGACGATAAACAGCCACTCGTAGTTTCGCCACCACCGATAACACCACCACTGACACCACCACCGAGACGCAGTTCTAATAGACGTACATACCGAGAGAAGAAATACTGTCGATGCTGTGGAAAACATGGGCACACGGCAAATACATGCAGACGTCTGGACGTATGTTGGCACTGTGGAGAAATGGGTCACAAAGCGAGAAGATGTCCATCCCGTAATCACGATAAAAGAAGCGAGCATGAATTGCACTATTACTTCACGCAGGCTCTACACAAACCGAACAAATGGTGCAGAGATAATTGTTATTTAAAATGTAACTGATTGATTCACGTTTTCCCATAGAGTATGTAACCAGTTGGCAAAATCGTCGTTCATACCGGGAAATCCTCTGTTGTACAAATAAAACATTTGTAACACAGCTCTCTCGTTCGTGGTTTCTATTTGTAATTGATTCTTTATTAAAAGTGAAGGCACATACACCCGTACTACATTCTCTGAACAAATTTCTGGTACTTGTCGAGACATATACGTGATATTTTTACAAACGTAGACTGAAAATATCTGTAACGTTTCTTCCCACGTTGTGATCGTGTCGTCTTGGTGGTGGTGGTCGTGGTGGTGGTATAATGTTATCACGGAGTTATACCATGTAGAGGAGGAGGAGGAGGAGGAGGAGGAGGAC